ATGCGCTGGCAAGTCCGAGATTGAGCCTGAGACCAGTGACAGGTCGACGACCGACGCGACTGTGCCCGACTGCAGACACGTGGCACCGTGACGGACTTTAACACCTCTTAACAGGCACCATCCAGTGCCGCTGGGCTCTAGGCTTGGCGTTGATTGGCTGGCTGGCTGACTGGCTGACTGGCTGGCTGACTTGCTGGTTGGTTGGTTGGTTGGTTGGTTGCAGATGCTGGCAAAGGCCTGCTAGAGGGCAGATGCCAACTTGGCTCGGTTGGTACAAATTGGACAATTGTCACGTCTAGGACGGGAAGTAGGCGGCTGACCGCTTGATGGGTCAGGGTCATAAGAGAAGATGACTCCGAAAGGGAAGCGAAGCAGAGACTTCTGACGGTGACGACCAATTTCAGCCTAACTTGGCCTCAGTCTCCGTTTCAGAATGGAAGGATGACCCAAAATGGTGTCCGTTCAAGACAGACATGACGCCCCAAGGACCTCAGGCCCCGGCGATAACGAATCTCAAAGCATCCCGAGTTGAAGTGTCCTACCGCACAACAATGAATCTGGGACATTCATGCCACCAGTCGTCAATCCATGTACGCAATCAGAAGGTTTTGTTTGGCTGTTTGCATACGTGTTAATCTGTTGGTGCACTCATTCAACGTTCGCACTGATGTCTGTGTTGAGCCCACTTTCGTTTCGAGTGAAAGTGTATGATGAAATAGTTCGAAGGTGACAGCGGCCATTTTTATTGGAACATTCGTGTCGATGCGGTCCCCTCAGCAACTTTCTTCGAGTTCGGTATGGACCTGATAAACCTTTGTTCATCATATGACCAGCATCGTCACAACACGTTTTCACCGGAATCGAAGGAGATTACCTCGCGAACAGCATCATTAGGACAACTGCTGTCGTCTTCTGGACAGATCCACTTTCACATCTCTTCATGGCACACTTTCACTCAAAATGGAAATAGGCCTAACACTCATAAATCAAGAAGTTTCTTAAAACCTATCTTTTGTTGGCATAATGACATCTTTCAATGTCTGAAAGTTTGCATAACTCGTTCGTGCTTTCAGGACAACTTTAAAGAACGTTCTTCTGCTATAGTTATTGGGAAGCCTCATAATGTAGCCGTTAAACCGTCTGATGCAGAGAAGAATCATGTCGATTATGGAAAGTAGCGAACATGAAGCTAAACAAACTTTACTCAGTTCTTGTTGGGCAAAAATTATCCTTTAGGTTTGACTAAAGTTGTGCGAAGAAAAGTTGGGCTTATACACTTATAGAGACAGACACACTCACATGCATCAAAGTTGACATATGACCTGAACTAACTAAATCACTTTATACTTGATCAAAGAGGCCAGATGTAGAGCATATCTACCACTTTTTAGGGATTTGCCAGTGAGCTTTCTTGACTCGTTAGCTTGAATTTGGTTGTTATGGTGATAGCTTGCTCTGATGATGCTCGTCATATGAGGGACGAAAGCTTAGCACCTTTTCACCCGACTCGAAAGGAGATCACCTCAGAAACAGCTGGTCTTCTGGTGGAACCGAACTTCGAATCTTTTCACCAAACACCTTCATTCGAAATGGAAGTGAATACAACAATTGGTTAAAGGCATTGGTTCCACCTAATTTTCGCAACTTAGTCGGAGCGTCAGGGAGACTTTGTGAAACGTACCCAGTCCCGTGTCCTCTGCCATGGTATTCGCAAGTTTCAGCATTGGACCATCGACTTGGTACATCACCAAACTTTTCACCGGCATCGTCAGCGAGAGGCACCATATCAAGCACAGAGTTACAACTTATCAAATTAACCAATTTTCTGTTCAACCGTTGTCACATCACTCCTCGCCTCTATTTTTTGTTCCATCTTTTAGTGCCGCATCTCTTTTTCTCAACTCTACTTCATATGGAGGTTGTTTGACCTTGTTTTCGCAAAATGGTCATGTTGGTAGGAAGACTTAGAAGAACGCACCTTGTCCGGAGTCCATTGTCTGCATGATCATTTACAAAATTGAACCGTGGACGTGGTACATTCACAGACGTTTTGGAAATGTACCACGTCCACGGTACGATTTTGGAAATGATTATAAAGACTATGGACTCCGGACTAGGTGCGTTCCTCTAATTCTTCCTACCAATATGACCATGTTGCGAAAACAA